ATAATTCTCAAATCTAATGTGATTTTTGACGGCATGATACGCCAATCCTTTTGCCTTGATGCACTCTTTAGCATTTTGAATAAAACCGTAAGCCTTGGATCTTAGAGCTACGTGTGCTGAAATAAACTCCCCTCCAGTCTCGTCAGTGAAAGTACCAGGAATCTTACACCGTTCAGTACGATAACATGGATGGTTAACTGGATAGTTTGAAGTATCTAGTTTTTCTATAAAACTTTGATTTTTTTGCATATCATCATAAAAATTCTTGGTTTTGACTAAATATATCAATGAATCTAAAACACATGAATTAATAACAAAAAAAAAACAAAAATTTTTACAATAAAAGACGAAGAGAACCTGTGTCCATGTATAAAAGCTCAATGTTTTCTGCATATAACGCTTTCATAGTACCATAGTGAAAATCATACATAAGAGTTTTTGATATGTCCAACACGGCAAATCCTATGTACATGGGCTTATCAAAAATTAAATCTTCTTTATGCAAATGAATAGCACACAAGTTATCACCATATACAGTTGTACCTTTATGTGAGGGTAAATTTACAAGCTTTCTATATCTTGACTCACTACTAGTAAGCTCCATTTTCATTCTTAGACGTACATTCTCCATCGTTTTGCCTAAAACATAATACTTATTTAATTATAAAATAATAATAATTATTAAATTGTACAGTTTTATACAAACCAAATACTGAGTTGTTCATAAGCTTATAAAAGTCTTTTTCAAACGTATTTTTAGCTACCGAACGCATCCGTGTATTTAATGATATATAGCTTGCCAGCCATGGAGATTGATTAAACTCTATCATTCTATGCACTTTTTCCAACACCAGTCCTGCCTGTAATGCCTGTTTCAACGAATTGTAGTGTACTATTTAATTTTTTTTATGTTTTAAGGTAGCCAAAAGCTTTGGAAACTTAGAACCTTCGGGGACTTCTTTAGAAGGCAGATACGGTAAATCGTTATGATTATCATGTAAGTGTTCAGGGTATGAAACGTCGACTTCTAATATCATTCCTTTTTTCGAATTATTTGATGTTTTTTCTAAGAGCTTTAAAACTTCTGAAACATTTAAATTCATCTCACTCCATTTAAAGCCATCTTTAGGCAGATACTGTGACATGGCCCATCCGTATCTAATAAGTATTGCACAAATAAATTACTAATGTAAAACTATAATTATTATTAAAAAAATATTAAATAAAATTTACTTACAAATTTGTAGCATCAAGATATATGATCCAGTTATCCGGCTTACTAATATCATAGCTAGAAAGTCCTTTATGATTAGCTTCCGAATATCGGCGTACTGCCGTTGTCAAACCTCCTCTAATTCCCTGCTCCAACATCATGAGCATGTCATAATCGTGTAATAGCTCGAGTTCAATATTTGTATGTTTCAACATACAATCAAAAGACATGCCGGGTGCGGTGTAATAGTAATTAGGGTCAAGTCCATAAGTTTTTAGGCAAAGGTCTCTAAAAGACTCAAACACGTCACATAACAACAACACGTCCAACTTCAAATACCAGTCGCTATATTGTCCTAACGTTGTACACTTAAAATGTTTCCAAACATTCTGAGCATGTTGATAGTCCTCTTCAGTTATATTACTCTCATTTAGAGAACTATAAAACTCATTTATAGATGGTAGCGATGTTTCGTTAAGTTTCTTGAATGAGTCTGTATACTCGTAAGGGTATACACCTTTACGGGTAATAAGACTGATATCTGAATTTGGAAAATGTTTTGTAGTATCTTTAAAGTATCCTACATCCCCTTTGGCTAAATTTTCGACTAGTTTTGATAAACTTGACGCCATGAACCTGTTGCTGTCAACAAATCTTATTTTGAAGTCTTTCGCCACATATTTTGAAAAAGAAATAAATTTTTCTTCACTGTTAGGTATAACAGTTATGGGTTTATCGTCGTATCCAAGCTGTGTTACAATGAAATGACCGTCATAGTTGGATAAGTTGTGAAAAAAGCAGGGGACAAATTTAGGAGACTTTAACTTTAAGTTACATTCATTACAAATTGTGTTTCTGTACTTGGATGTTAAATAATCATGATCGCGAACTGGGTAAGTATTTATAGAGAACTTAACATTGCATAAAGGACACACACCGCGTTTTACTATATCATTATGTTTCTTCGCGTCAGCTTGCTTAAAAGTCATGGGCAAGTTGACTTGTAACATTTGAGATATATTTCGAGCCACTTCCACAATTTCTTGAACGAAATGTTTAGCTACCGCACCCTTTTCTCCATTACCGTCCCCTCTGAACAACACTGGATACGTTGGAATTGAAAACTGTTCGAGTAATGATGTTGGTATATCGTCTCTAACCTTAACATAATAACAATAACTCATAGGCTCATGATCATGCGTTATCTGTGTATTCTTCTCCAGTGATTCTTCGGACTTGTGTTTGAACAAAACAGCTTCAAAATCAGCGTATATGACAACAGGATGACGTTCAGTGTTACCCCAATTTTCAAATTTGGTGACTGTATCTGGTTCAGGCATAACAGGAGTTATAGGCTCGTTAACTCTACAACGATCTTTATGCTGACGTAGGAGCTCTTCTTTGCTAGGTTTGTTTGGTTTGGAAGTATAAGTTTTAAAACATCTTCTACATATTACGGTTTTTGAATGAAACAAAGTCATTGATGATCGCACCAGCTTGGCTAGATCTGTTATATAACAGTAATGTCTAAGACCTTCCTCATTTGATATCATTAAAAGATCGAAATGATCGAGTTTTTCTTCTTTACACACTCTTAAAGGTATAACAATATTTTTTTTTACTTGAGGTCTAATTTTTTTTGTTTTATTTTTATACGTTGCAAAACCTTTTTTCAGTCCATATATGTTCACAGATACGTCAGGGTTTTGTTTTTCAAATTTTACAATTTCTTCGAGTGACATGGGCATGGTAAGTCCTGAAAAATTATATCTATGTCCATGCTCTTCAAAATGTTTCTGCTGAACAGTTATACGAAATGCGTTTACTGGGTTTATAGATTTAGACGTTATACTGTAAATAAAACAATTGTTATCTTCATTTTTTACATTGATAGTTGCATGCTTACTTTCAATTTCTTTAGGAAGCGGTAAATAACTACCTCCTCCAAAAGGCATGTATTTGTCAGTGTACAATAAAATACCATCAATCCGTTCTAACGTATAACCACCACCTTTACCTAAATATTTTTCTTGCTCTAGTAACAGTTTAGTGAAATCTTCATTCAGAAACTCTTCAATAGGACTTGATATGAACAAACTTCGTGATGTAGTTTTAAAAGACCTATTTTCCACAGATTCAGCTTTATTCGGAATAACATAAGTAGACTCTAGTTTTAAACTGTACTTAATAGGACTGTCGGTTAAGAGACGTTTAAGCAAAGCAATTAATTCAGGCCGTGCTTCCTCCAAAAACACTCCATAATTAACAATACGTTTTAAATTCTTTTTGTAAAATGTCTTATGTAACCCTCCAAACGCCTGTTGTATTAAACTAAAACTACTAGTATTTATATTGTTTATTCTATATTTCTTTGTATGCTTTTCCCTAGATGCTGCTTGTAAACAAAGGCTATCTGCTTCATTATCACCCCAACAATCGTCAAAGGGGTGTTTTCTTTTTTCACCTGATAAATAATTGGAATTTCTTAGATAATATATTTTGTATAACATTAACTGAGTGTAAATAATAATAATATTTGAAATTTTTTTGAAAAAATTGTGCATAATGTTTGAGCAACTAGTAGTATTTACTACACTTAATAATAATACTTAAATAATAATAAAATAATATAGTAAAAAAAAAATTAGCTTTTAAATTATAAATGTTTTTATAAAAATTCTTAAAATTATGAAAAAATCGGTCATGAAGTTTAGACGAATTGTAATATTTACTGTGCTTAATAATAATAATAAAGGAATTTTTTCTTACCTTTATTTACGTTAGTCGAAGTCGATGGTTTACAATTAGGTATAGTAATACTTTGCAACGGTTTATTAATATTAAGGTTTACGTCGTTTCTTTTAGTTACATTTAATTGTACTGGTCGGGTTTCATCTATAAAGTGTAATTATATTAACACAAAATATTGCTTAATTAAATTTTATATTTAATAATATCTTGAAAAATGACTTACCATGTAACAGTTTCTGGTGTCTTATTAAAACGCTCTTTCTTGTAAATTTTTTTGCACAAGCATTACAACTAAACCGCACATCACTATGAATTTTTTTATGTTGATTAAGGTTACTTACAGTTGAAAATATTTTACTACAAGTATTACATTGATTCATTTTAAAAGATTTTGGAAAAATACACAAAATAGCGAATTCAAATTGCAGTAAAATGTATAAATTGATTCAAGTACAGCTAATAACAAATGTTAACTAAACGAGTTACGAAACAGGAATGACACTTGTACAAAATGTTAAATGTGTTATCGAGTAATTCTTACCTATAAATTTTTGTCCCTTTCCCTGTCCTTTTAAACTCCTCACTTAACTAACTAAGTATGGTATTTTGCAAAGGTATAACATATAGTATCATTAACTAATGTGCATGCGTTAATGCATTGACTTATTAGTATAAGTTTCTTTATAGCATACCCAAAAGTAAAAGAATTTGATTAATATTAAGACTAATCAGAATGTTATACCATTCTTGCTCTATAAAATGTATTCGTAGTTACATTTTAAACTAGATAATTANCTATAAAATGTATTCGTAGTTACATTTTAAACTAGATAATTAATTTTATTAACGTTAAATTACAATTAGTAATAATCAATTAATCTACACATTAAAAAAAAAAAGTCTATTAACAAACATTATTAAGTTACAGTAATGTAACTTAATAATCAAAATTAATTTAATAAAATATTATTTCTAACGTATAAATATTTTCTCTTTAATTACAAAATAACTGAATTCTTATGAAATAGTAAAATATTGCACATATTTATTTATTTACTTTAATATCATAATAATGATCACCTTATGATGAGTTTTATCATCGCCTCCCCTTCTATGTAGGGGTAAATAGTTGGTCTACTGTTTTAATACATACTTGAGTCAAGGAAGGGAGACCCTCTATGACCAATACACGTCATAGTTGGGTTTCGTTGGGTTAATATGCCGCCGCCGCCGCTCGATTGCACCTTTCACTTTTCACATTGCACATTGCACATTGTACATTGCACATTGCACATTGCACATTGTGTTAAAAGGTATATACTATATCTACTTTTATCTACAGATTTACATCAAAGCGTTTCTTAAGATAGTGATTTTAATCACTGTCAGATATCATCTATTCTAGTCTCAACTATGCCACGCTCACACTGTGCTACCATTTTATTTCAACTCTAAATTACTATAACTGTTTGAAATATGTATGGATCAATACAATTATTTTTTCATATATATTTTATGTTTATATCTTTCATTTAATATACATTTTTTGACATTTTTAAAAATCCGAGTAAAAAGTAGAATTTTTTCAACTTAACTTTTGAAAATGTGCCGGAAATACTCCAGGCTTTTAATATATATCAAATTAAAGCTTATGTCATTTAATATAAAATGAAAAAAAATTTTGTTATTTTTTTCACTTTTTTTTCTTAAAACTTCTATAACTTTTTCAAAAATTATGAAATCAACATGATTTTTTTAATTGAGACATTATATTTTCTTTTTATTTGATATCATTTTTTTGAAAATCTAACTCTTAATCTGCTCACAGAAAGGGATTAAAATTGCAATTTTTTTACAAAAATTAACATTTTCAACTTAACTTATGAAAAAGTTTTTGAAATACTGCATCCTTTAAACATATAATCAAATTTAAGCTTATGTCACGTAATATAAAAAAAATGTTGTCCCGACACCTTTTATGTACTGTAGTTAAGAAGTACTATTTTGGTGTTAACATTTTCAACTTTAAATTGCTATAACTTTTCGAAAAATATATGTATCAACACAAATTTTTTTTTATAAATACATTATATTTAAATTGGACAATTTCCTCTAATACAGGGGGTGATCAAAACATGAATTATACGTATAAAAAGTAGAACTTTTTAAACCAAACTTTTGAAAATGTTCCGGAAATTCTGCGTCCTTTAAATATATGTTAAATTAAAGCTTACAACAAATAATATAAGTTCAAAAAAAAATTGTCCCGATACTTTTTTTTCTATGAGTAAATGGTCGACGAATTTAACGAAAAATGTAACTTTTATATAAAAATCACTGTTTAACATGAAATATTTTAATACATAAAACTGTCATAAATTTTTGAATAATAAACAAATTAAAATAATTATTTTTTATATTGAACCTTAGATATTTTTATTTAATTTGATATAATTTTTTTGACTTTCCCACAAAGGGAATTCAAAATAACAATTTTTTCATACAAGTTAAACTTTTTCAACTTAATTTTTTAAAATGTTCAAGCAATATTGACACTTTTATTTTAAGTTTAATGAATTTATTAGATTTATTAAATTATTTTAATTAATAAAAATATGTAAAAAATTGCATTTTTGCATATAATTACACACTTGTAATCACATCATTATTTACTAAGTTCCATTATAAGTAACTTATATTAAAATAATTATTTTTAAAATGTAGATAAATAAAAAAATGTATAATTAGTTTAACATTATCGTCAGAAATTAATTATATTCCTATTTAAAATAAATAACAAAAAAAAACTGAATAATGGCGTTTATAGATATTTATGAATTTGTGTACTTATTCAAACAGAATTCTTTGTGGACATTATTACAACAAAAATTACAATGATCTTAAGTTGGCTAGTGTAAAATATAAGGAAATATTCGCAGAACATATGAGTTGTCAATTCAATTTAATTGCAGAAGAAACTTATGATTTGTTTTAACAGTTCATTAAATAAAAAAATTAAATAGCACATAACATTGAATTACTTCTTACTAATATTTTACATTTTATTTAAACTTTAATATATATTTTATTCTTTGGTGGAATAATTTAATGATTGTTTTTTTCTAGCAGTCGTAATTGTATAAAACATGATTATTTTAAAAACTAGCTAATTAATTTCTCTTATTAAATTAATTAAGTTAATAAAATACATTTTGGTATTTTCTGTTTCATATATTTTTTGATTTATTAATTATTAAATATTTATTATATTGTAGTTATAACATCCGTATTACTGTGTCAAAATGGTAAATATGTATGTTTTTATTAAAAACAATAATGATGATGCCCTTATAACGTATTAGAGATTAATTAAAAATATACTTTATAATTCATATAACGAGAGGTAATAAATTTAATATTTGTATTTCACACTTTATAATTTTATTTTTGTTAAATTTTTATAGTAATTCATTGTTTAACAAGACGATATAATAAAATGATTTCTGTTATAAATAACTTTTTTTAAATAATTATTTTTAATATATAAGTAAATAAATTGAAAGATAAATAAAAAAAATGTACAGTTGACATAACAGTATCTTCATAAATCATTTATACTCCTACTTAAAATAAATAACAAAAAACAATTAAATAATGACATTGAACTATACTTGGATCTCAGTTCAAAATTTTTGTGTTAGTCTTCATTGGATTTAACTTATCAACATTTTATATTATTTATTTACAATTTTTTTGTTCAAAATATGAATTTATTAAATTTGTGCTTTGCATTAATCATTATTTTAATTCAATCACTACCATCAAATTTTGTTATATACAAATTAATCCCAAATGAAAAAATTGAAAATCTTAATAAAATACTTGACAATGTGGAAATATGGAAGCAATTCGAGAATATAATCGTTAGACATGGAAGTAAGAATAACAAGGAAATGCTCACAGTTCATAAGATCTTTGATAATATTGACTACGAAAAATATATAGATCAGAATAATATACAATTTTTTGAAAAGCTTGATGAACAACGTTCGTCAAAATATTTGTATGTTGATCCAAACAATTATGAAGGAAAGATATACTTAATTTTTAATTTCGTAAGGTGTAGGTGTTGGCAACATATTAAGTGGTTTAATCGACTTTTATCATACATGACAAGTGATTATGATAGGATCTGCAAAGAAGAAATAATGAAACAAGAAAAAACAATGACCTTAAAAATAAAGAGTTTGCTTCTTACAAGAATCCAAGAATATAAAGAATTAGTACAAGTACTTTATGATTATGCATGTTTTTTTAAAAGTTTATTTCCTAAAGGTAAAGATAAAGTAAGTAAGACTTGCCCATTTTTTTCGAATCTATTGCCCATAATAAATATGCCATTACCTGAAGGTGATTATTTTGCAAATGATTTTAATAAAATATTAAAAAAATCATATACAAATTTTTATAATTATTCAAAGAATGTGTGTACTTATTTAAACATAATTCCTCACAAGGCTACATATAACAAAAAATACAAACGAAAGTTGGCTAATGTAGAATATAAGGAAAGCTTTGCAGAATATATGAGTAGTCAATTAAATTTAGTTGCAAATGTAATTAAGGGCATGTTTTCACAGTTGTCATTAAATGAAAAATTAGAATAATATATAACATTGAATTATTAATTATTAATATTTATAAAACATATATGAAACTTAAAAAATGTCACATCAAGCTATTATAATAGTTTTTATTTTTAGAGTAATCGAATGGCTTATGTTAATAAATTACCCCGTTAATTCATCACATACATTTTTATAATTATATTATATTCTTATATTAAAAAAAATATTATTATTTTATAATTATTAGTTATAAAAAAATGGTTTTGGAAATATTTTTATTTATGTATATTAACAAAAAACTGACAGATTTCTTGAAAAGTATAAAATTTATTAATCACAATAGATAAACAGTGATTTTATAAAAATTATAAATTATTTGTGCTTATCGCTATGTTGTCATTTCAAAAGATACACTAATATATATAATCTATTTATAATATAAAGTATTTAAATTGTTAGATCATTTGTAGATTTTTAAGTATTAAACTAAATATATTATTTAATAAATATTTGTTCTCTAGTTATTATAGTAGTTATTCTTACATTGATTTTGTTTTTCAGATATAATTTCTTATACTGTATGTTATTTGACTTACAAATATGGTTAAAAAAATTAAGGTGCAAAATTATAGCAATTTTGTATGTAAAAAAAGATTTATATCAATAAGATCGACATTGTGCATTGATGATAAAAGTATAACTATTTTAGTAGGTTTTGGTTTATAAGAAATAAGGATAAATGTTTTTGAAATCCAAATATGGTATTATTCGGCTCACGGTTTTTTGAACGCTGCAAACGAAAAGTCGCTGTAATTCTTTTTTAATGTTTCCGAACCAACCATTTAAATATTATTTTTCAATTGCCAATGGAATACTAAAAAACCAGTTATTCTTAGTTAAATTTTCTAAATTCTAATTCATTAGTGCCATAACTACGTCATTTGGAGAGTTAAAAAAAATTGCCAATTAGTTTTTTGCACAATATACTTTTAGGTGCACTTATATATTAATTTCTCATCAACCAGTACAAATATTTTTACATTATATACCACAGATTTATTTGTTAAATATATTCTTAATGAGTATCAACCTCTAAAGTTAAATAATTACTCGTCAATTATTATGTATTCTGAAGGCAAGAAATATTTTTAACGATTTTCAACAAATAATTCAAAAAGTTCTCTTATTGAACACTTTAACTCACAATTTTACTTTATGTCGTTTAATTGGCATCTCTTTCTTTCAAATTCCCCATTAAAGTTAGTAAATATATTTTTTAGTACAATGTGTAATTATACGGGTTATCACAAAATAATAAATCAAAATAATCCATAGTATCTGATTTATTTTTAGCCATTGTGTTATAATACATTGACCTCTCATTACAACTCTTATCTAGACAGTAAACTATGATAACTATTGTCAAATAAAAATTGTCATACTGTCACATATGGACAATATAATCAACATTATCTATTAAGCAATAAACTAAATTAATTTAAAACTTTCATGTAAATATTAAAATACACATAAATATTAACATAAATTGTCACTAATATGTCAATATTATAATGAAATAATTAATCATTGTCCAGAATAGTATGTTAAATTTTAAGATAACATGTAATAAATAATTTAATAAAGAGATATCAATAGCGTTTCTGACACTTCTTGCACATGAATATAGATATATTAATTAACAAATCAGGATATAAAAGGGAACAAAACAGGCTAAAACAGGGCTCATTTTACATTGATCCAGGCGTGCTCCCAGTATTGACGCAGCTCATTAATCTCAATCGTTTAGTTCATGTGTAAGAAGTAAACAGATACGTTAAGATTTATTCAAAATAAACAGACGACTTAATTCATTCTCTAGATATCCTCTGGAAATATCAAGGTAAATACTAATTAATTAAATTAATAAGGTTTAAAAATATTAATTCTTTTAAGTACATGGTTAACATAGGGACAAAGAAATATTGAGTGATCACTAAAAAAATCACTCTGTCTTTCTATTACCTTTTCACTATTCTCATAAACCCTCGAACTCATACCCGAGAAACTTTATTAAAACAAATAGTAACTTCTCTTTCCCGCTAAAATAGAGTAATTTTCTTTTTGAGTTACTATAATTGATTTGCATCCGAGTAAATGTATTATTATATGAGATCGAGTACGCACGGTACTAGGTAGCTTATTTTTAGACATTTAGTTTTTTTATCTTTTTTAAAAGAAAACTTGGACCTTGATAAATCACTACCAATGTCGGGAACGTCTTCAGTTTCTGAAACGCGTTGTTCATTATCATTTTTAGTATTTTGAATGTAATCGTATATACCACTATTACCACCCACTTCAAATATCTAAGTTCGAAAAAACAATTTTTGCATACTAGTTAAACTTTTTCAACTTAATTTTTTAATATGTTAAAGCAATATTGACACTTTTATTTAATTTTAAATTAAAACTTATTTTTTATTAAGAAAAAAAATATTGAAATATAGATTTTTTTTTGGTGAAAATGGTTAACGTATTCAAAAATATGTTATTTTTGTATTAAAATTCTGGGTTTTATATTTTATTTTATCTTAAGATATCTTACAAGTGGAATACACTGACTTTCATGAATATTACATAATTTAATTGACATAGAATAAAGGTCATAAGACATAAGACGTTAAACTTATTTAATATTTTGCTTTTTTATAGTTGAAAAAGTATCTTTAAAATTTGAATTAGCTTAAATGGCTAATTTTATCGATTGACGAACAGTTGCCGAATGAATAACACTTGTGTCTTTCACGCTTAAGGAATGAGGAGATTCGAATCTACCTGTGGAAATTGATATGTAGCAATTTTTTTTTGAGTTAGAAAACATTTTATAAAATATTTTTCCAACCCACCCTTAACCTACTTTTTTCAACGATACGTCAAATTATTACAATTCGTATTTAGTTGAAGATATTACCCTCAACAATTGGAATCAAATAAATCAAATTTATAATTAACTTAAACAAATAAAAAGTAGCTTAAAATGCTTTATTTTTAGAAACAATTAAAATCATTCAATTTTAATATTTTTAAACTATTTATTAGCGAATTAGGTTTGATATTATAATAGGTTTAAACTACAAAATTAAATAATTTTACTTTGTAATATATTAATTTTTTATCTTTATTTCTGTGTCTTACTAACAGTATATAATTTATATTTCTATAATATAATTTTTATATATTGTATAAATTTTTGGTAACATATTGCTATATAAATTATTAATCTAAAAAAAAATATTTTTTATTTTCAACTGAATTTAACAAAAACTTTTTATAATTATAATAAAATTTTATAATATACTCAATTATATAGATGTTATTAACATCATTTTGGTTGATTTAGTTAAAGTAAATAATTAAAAATAATTATGTTTGGAATATTTCAATTGTAGAATTATTTTAAACTCCAAAAATTACTTAGAAATGATTACTATTAATTCTATTTAAGTTATAATAGTTTAATTACAATAAAAATACAATAAAATTTTTGAGTTTTTCTGATAAATTTTAGTAAATAGTAATTATACAATTTCCTGACTGCATATTAATCTTAACAATACCATTTTTTTATTCTCATAAATTTTTCTTTTTAATAATGTAAATTTCAAACTTGAAGTTGATCTAAAAATTATGGTAACATATTCAAATTTTTTTTATTTATTTTTTATTTATATTTTACACTAATTATTTTTAAAATAATAAAAAAAAAAAAATCAAAATCTATAATAATTTAAAAACAATTGTTTTGTGTTTTTAATAATTTTTTAGCGTAATAAATTATTTCTTAAAAAAAAAATATTTATTATTTCCATGTAATTCTTGGTGTTTAAATAGATGATACAATTGAAATATTCAGAACTATTTACCTTATATTTATATCCTATAGTTTTTAACTAATTTTTAATAATAACAAAAAATATTGGTGATAAAATAAATATGATTGCTGATTTGAAATTAGCATGAAAAGTTGAATAATAAAAGTATATTTTTTACTCTGATAAAAATTTTTGCAGACCATTTATTCATAATTAACAACAATTTATTGTCTAAAAATATCTGTCAAGCCTTTCAATTTTTATTCACGTAACCATAAAATTAATAAATAATTTATAATTTTTTACAAATCCTCTGAAAAAATTACAATACTAAATTATTAAATATCAATTTCATACTACGGTGAATTGCTTTAATAGATATTTATTCATAAATTATACTTATAAATCAATTACTAATTAGGAATAATGATAGAAATAGAAGTTAATTTTGCTTTTAGAATAATCAACTAATTTTTTAAAATGAAAGACTATCTACAGATTTGTATTGAAACGTTTTTTATGATAATGATTTTAATCACTGTCAGATATCATCTATACTGGACACTACTATGCCACACCCCCACTGTGCTTAGTTTTTTTTAATCTGATCATGTTATTTTATATAGGGGATCAAAAATTGAATCATACATATAAAAAGTAGAAAATTTTCTATTTAACTTTTAAATTTACTCCCACATTATTGTGGTCTTTAAGTATACAGTGTGATTTTTTTTTAGTATCTGTCTTTTTTCGTTAACTTTTTTTTTTATACAAATATACAAATATACATGTTAATATTTAATTTATTNATCTGTCAAGCCTTTCAATTTTTATTCACGTAACCATAAAATTAATAAATAATTTATAATTTTTTACAAATCCTCTGAAAAAATTACAATACTAAATTATTAAATATCAATTTCATACTACGGTGAATTGCTTTAATAGATATTTATTCATAAATTATACTTATAAATCAATTACTAATTAGGAATAATGATAGAAATAGAAGTTAATTTTGCTTTTAGAATAATCAACTAATTTTTTAAAATGAAAGACTATCTACAGATTTGTATCGAAACGTTTTTTATTATATGAGTAAGTATATTAAAATTTGATTATAAAAATTTTAATTCAATTTTTTTTTAGTATTAGTTATTATAATAGAAACAAAATGCATTTAAATACATTTTTGGTAGTTGTTATCGTGTTAATTTTGTGTTTACAAATGAAATTGTCACAATGATTAGCTCGTCAAATATTTCTCATCTCAAAAATATTGTAAGTAAACTTGTTATTAATAATTTCAATTATATTAGTTACAAAAAATTACATGAATCAAAAAAATTTTAATGAGTACAATGGACATATTGTAAATCTAACAATCATATAGAATATGCGTCCACAAATATTTTTGATGTCAACAAAAATAACTTCTTTGAAAAAAGAGATCTGATTGCTGAAATACTTAGTTATTAGTATCTTGAGCAACTTAGACTAATCAATCGTCTTATGTTGCATATAACTGAGGAATATTTTAAATCTAAAAATTGCATTGAAAATGGAACGTAATAAAATAAATGATATAAATAAATACGTTAGCACATAATCCAATAGTAAAATTTATATCCACCATTAATATGAAAACATATGTTCATTGAAAAAAAATTTAATCATGTTAATGCATTATAAAAAATAAATATATATTTATATTTGTTGAAGATTTGTTTATAGTAAATGTTTAATTTTTCAAATAAAAAAAAATTATGAATTCTCGATACGATATAAACAAAGCCTAGGTTTTACAATGTAATTAGAAGTATAAAAGTAGTTGTAAACAATTTTGTAAAATTAAATAATGTTATCTTTAATAATTATTCGAGGAACGTTCATAAAAAATATGATTATTATCAAGAAATAATTCATTTAAGCTTAAAAATATAAATAAAAAGTCAGAATTAAATGTAATCAATTTTTTTACTTTTATTTATAATAAAAACATGTTGATGTTAGCTTCGATGCGAAGCTGAGAAAGTATTAATTTTACTATGATGTGATTTTTTTTGTGTCTGTTATCACTTTTTTTATGTTTATAACATAAAAAATACAAACAATTATAAATAAAGTATTTAAAAAAATTGTCGAGATTGTAATAAATATTTTTACATAAATTGTTTTGAAGTGGTTTTTTTAAAAAGTGCATTATTTCGTTATTTATTGCCTTAAATGCAATTAAAAATTCTCTGATAATCGTTAATCGTCTAATAATATAATAGACACCTATCAATTTTAAAGGATTTGACTATTTATAAATAAAGTGTATCCATAGATACACATTAAAACAATATATTGTTTTAAGATTTTGCATAAATTCGTGAATTAAAGCTGATATCTTATTATTATTATTTGCTTTATCATAATATTATAAATACTTATAACTTTAATAAAATTTAGAAACAAATATTTATAAGAAGTTCCAAATTAAAGTGGCCCGTCTAGATTTTTACAGTCACACGTTTAGCTTGTCGGTCCTGTATCTCAATAGCAAAATATTATACTTTTATAATTAATTTAATCAATATATTTTATTATATAAAAATCAATTCCAAGAGCAAATATTTTGCTAACTCGTTTTAATCTTTACACACATAAAATTTGTTTAGTCATTTTTTGTTGATTTTAAGAACACTGGAATTTTCCGAAAGTCATATAAATATACAATTACAATAATTTCTTAAATATCTAAATAATAAACGGAACATCCGTTTCTGTTATAAGTAGCTTTTGTTTTCGTTGTATTGTCTACAAGGTAAGATAACAAGAGTACAACATTCTCCTTATCAAAAAGACTTTATCCTTTAAAAATAGTTATTGTTGTTAAACTTATAATAATTTAAAGCTACGAACATTTTTTTATAAAATATTTAAAAAATATGATAGCTGTGAATAAATGTTTGACAGTTTTAACAATCAAAAAATCTTTTCTTATACTATAAATAAAATAATAAAAACTAAATCGCCAAAATTAAGTAAGTATGAATGTGAATAGACATTTTCTAAAAATCTTATTTACTAAATAATATTTAGCATTACTCAATATTTCACCAAAAATGAAAAGAGCAGGCAATGTTTTATTTATTTTTTCTTGATAACCAAGAAATAATCATAAAAAAAAAAATAACTTGAAATAAAAAAAAATATTTAGTTTTAAAGAAATATGAATATTGCAATTATAATATCATAATAAAAAATGGTCGTTACATAGAAGATAATTTAAAAAGAATGATATAAAGTTTGAAACTATGTATTTAATAAAAATTCAATGTAATAATACATTTAATAATAACACACAATTATTTTGTTAAAAATAATTAATAAATTTTTTTCATTTTTTTCATTTAGAGTGAAATCCCTTTAGTATTTTGTTCAATATTTTTAAAAAATCGAAAACTAGATATACATTAATACACTATGTATTTTATTCAGTGTTCACACTTGTAGGATTTTTTAAAGTAAATTTTTATTATGTTTGTAAAGAAACATGCTTTTATATTATTTTAGTCAAAGGACATCTTAAGTTTACATAACGGCGTATGGTCTATTATTGAACCGTTAATAATTATACTAAGGATAAACTTTCTATATAAGTAGATATTACTATATGAAAATAAATTAGATGTTTATGTGAATTATCTAAATATTTACTATCATCGGACTTTAATTGACATACCCTCGATAAATGACGTTCATTTAAAGATGTTTTTCTTTTGAATTATAATATTTTTATTTGTACTCAGAATTTTTCACAATGGACAAAACGTCAATCTTTTTTGCCTTGTACTTAGAAAAAGGATAATTGCACCAGTATCCAAGGAAATATACTGATCTACCAAACGAATTATACAACAAGAAAAACCTACTGTATTTAACTTTCAGCTTTCCATTAAACTCTTTTTTTACTAACGTTCAAACATTTTCTGTCGGTATTCGGTGTCCTTTATGCACTTATGATTTATTATTTATATATATGGGGTTGACACATGAAAATTCTCTTTTTTTATTCACTTTACACTGTAATCCATCGTTTTATCAAAAAATATTCAGAATATTAGAAATGAACGATTTACAAACCAAGATTAAGAAAATAAATTCAATATAAAAAAATTAATTTTTGACTAATTAAAAAACTTTACAGTAATTATAATGTACAACTTTTATGCAATTAAATTTTTTTTTAATATTTTATATATTAATAAAGAAGTTATATAGTACTATTATCAAAAATATTATGTAAAAAAACCCAGCACAGTGGGGTCGTGGCATAGTTGGGTCCAGTATAGATGATATCTGACAGTGATTAAAATCACTATCATAAAAAACGCTTCGATGCAAATCTGTAGATAGTGTATAATTTAAAAAAAAAATTTGTCAAAAAAGTAAGTCAAGTGAGAGCTGAGAAAATAAATGATAGCTACAAAAAAAACCACATAGTAAAATAATATTAATATAAATTTCTTCTCACGAGAGGAGACTACAGTAATGGGATCCTTGATATTTATTGAGTTATTGAATCTAAATGAGATAAAAATCAAATAAGTTAAAAAATTTTTTTTAACTCAAAAAGAATAAGAAAAAATTCAGTGCCACAGGCGTGATACACCCAAGTGTTACTGTCTCAGAAACCGTATGTCGCATTCGTCACTATAAAAAATAAAAATTTAGCAAGTTCAAATTTTAAAGTTATTTTTCTCAAATTCAAAGAAACAAAAAAATTTAAATGTTTAACTTTTTATGTATGTCAATTAGATTGATATAACATTTATGAAAATCAGTGTAATCCCCTTATAATAAAATAAAATACAAAACCAAGAATTTTAACACAAAAATATCATATTTTTGAATACAATAGCTATTTTCACCGTGAAGACAAAATAAAGTCCAAAATTTTTTTTTTCCATAATAAATTATATTATATTGGCTTTAATTTAAGATATATATAAAAGTGTCAGTATTTCCGGAACACTTTCAAAAGTTAAGTTGAAAAAGTTAATTTTTTGTGAAAAAGTTGTCATTTTGAATCCGCCCTTATGGGCAGGTAAAGGGTTAAATTTATAAAAAAAATATACCAAATGATAGGTAAAGATATCAAGTATCTATAAAAAAAATAATATTGATTTGTTCATTTTTGAAAAAGTTATGGCAGTTTTAAGTAAAAAAAATTGAAAAAATTTCGAAAATTAGCGATTTTTAAATTTGTAATTTTTTTGGAGGTTTCCCCCAACTACGGGGAACGAGGGTAATTTTTAAAATTTTTGAGGTTAACGTCTTTGATTAGATGCGTTTTGTGATCTTTTGACATATCGTTGATAGAAATCGGTTTGGTGAGAGATGAAAAAAAGTGGTAACAGAAAAAAAAAAAAAAAAAAAAAACACATCATAGTAAAATTAATACCTTCTGAGCTTCGCATCGAAGTTAATATTGTACAAATCGCTTGTAATTTTATTTTTTTTAATAATATCGTAGTTTTAAATTATTTACTTGTTTACACATATCTATTTGTGAAATAACTAACGTTAATTTTTATTTATTAATTGTATTTGCAATGTTTTAAGAATTTCAGAAAAAAATCGCAAGCCATTTATACAATATGTATAAGATATTCACTATTTAATGTTATAATGTAGTGAATATGTAATGTAATATGTTTTTAGGGTGAGTATAACAAGAAGACGCATTATTGGAATCAGCATACGGGCGACATGCCAAAAAAGCGTTCTTCGGTTGCAATAGAGTTCAGGGTATAAAGTTGTGTTATTCGTTAGAGACCGGAAATACAGAGACACTTTTCTACAGCATATGCATAAATTTGATAAACTATTCTATGGTCACTGTTTAAACTATTCAAATCATGGCTTATAAAGGAAAATAGTAGATGCTGAGATTGTCCAACGAGGAAACTCGTCCAAAAACGTATATTCAACAAAATAATTTTAACGAGTACCTAATTTTATTTTATTTTTTAATAATACTAAAATTTAAACATTATTTAATAAATTTGAAAAGATTCAGTAATAACAATCATTCAATTTTACTCTTGTAAAGTAAAGATTTTTCAACTTAGAAATAAATTGTTGACACATTTAAAAAAATATTTCGCGGCTGCACTGAATTTAAGCGTGCTGATCACTGATAATTATCAAAATGATAACATTGTCAAAAACGATTATCATTCTATTTAAATACATAAACTAAATAATAAGATCTTTAACTGTATAGTGTAAATAGCAATTAAAAAGTTTTTATGTAATGATTAGTATCATTTAATGTTTAAATTATAACTAATTTTAAAAATCGGTTTTTTACTTAAAGTTGCATTCTAGTTAGTTTTTTAATTTAAAAACGGCCTTTGTTTTAAAATTATATGTATTCGTTACATGTCAATTAGTTTTATAAATATTTTTTTTGGCTAACAAGAACTGTGATGGATATCGGTATGTAATATTTAGTTTTAAAATTTATCATATCTATATGATGTTATTTATATTATTATTTATAGATAATACTACAAATTTAATTTAATGATATAAACTATTATGCTTCTCATTAATTATTTATATTCATGTTATTGCGCATATTTTGAGTGATTATATTTCTATGATTCATTTTTTTTTTTTTGTAATTTTAATTAGTTTAAAAATGCTTATTAGAGAATATTGGTATTTTAATTAGTATGCTGAAAAATTCTTAGCTTGTAATATACTTCTTTTAAAAAAGGATTTTAATGTATAGATATTTATCAGTAATAGTACTTTAACAACATATATTCCTTACATTTAATTATTATAATAACTTTAACATTAATTAGAAAGACATGATTTAATTGATAAGATATAATAATTTTTATACACAAACAATATAAAAGTATTCAATTGTATACTAACAACACAATTAATATTAAAAATTAAGAAATTTAAGTAAAATATGTTAATAATAATTTTAAATTATTAAAAAAACGTTTATTAAATTAATTAATGTGTAATATTAATAACTAATTAACTATTTAATAAGTATGTAAATATTCATTTATATTAAAGATATTAATTTAGATGTTTTGTGGGCAATGTATCATTAAGTTGCCACCTTAGCACTGATGTTCAAATGGGTTGCCATAAAGAAACTTTAACAATGATACATACCTTGCTCCCATTCTTATTTCCTGAGCCATGATGAGAATGTATGAGTTTGATAGTTGGAGTGAAATTCTGTTAAATAGTTAAGGCGGAACTAACTCTAAATTGTTAGGATAGAGTCTATGATGATGTTGATGATTAGAAATAGAAATCCAAGTATTAATCCAAATCAGGGGTAATTTGGAAAAATATACTTTTTTTGGATATTAAAACATAAATATAAATACAACCTCTTCATTATATTAGTAATACCCATCATGTTTCATTAAATTTTAAGTTTTAGAATATTAAGGCAACAAGATGTTGATTCATAGCCTGGATCAACATTTATTCTACTTTATTTTTAATAGTTACCATATAAGAAATGGTAAATAGTACTATTGTATGATAGACTATAAAGATATTCATGGCCCATCTTCATAAGAAAAATTAAAAAACTTATAATTTTTATTTTACCATATTTATCTGAATAATATTAGTGATATTTTTATACTTCAATTAATTTCATTTAGTATTAATAAAAAGACTTTAAAAATTTAACGACCATATGAGAATTTAGATTTTTCTTAAAATAATAATTATGTTATGAAAGTTATTTTTGATGTTTTTTTTTCATATATTTCTCGACTTATCAATTATAAAGTATTTTATTAATTCATCCCTCATGCCACATAAGGGTATCGACTTTATTTTTATAATGGCAACATACAGTTTTGACTAGCTTATGAAATATAATGTGGTTTAATTAAGAAAATGACTGATTAATATCCATTTTTCGCCCATTCTTCAGAAGTTATAACTATTTTAAAATATTAGGTGGAAGTGAGTTGTGGGTTATATTATTAATATTACTTTCTATATATATATTATTATATTATATATATTCTATATATATATTAATATTACCTTACTCTGTTTACTAAAAGCAAAAAAATAAATTAAAATAAATTTTATACTTTTCTTCTTCTCTATATTTAAAACTGTTAATAACTTCTAAATTGCTATTACAAAAGTTGTTATCATCAGACTTTTCTAAATTAGATTATTTTTTATTTTATAAGCTAGTTAAACAGATTGTTGTCATTAAAAAAATTAAATTAACAACACTTTAAAATATAAGGATGATTAAAAATCATTAATAACTATTAATAAAATTAAATGAATCACGTGATTGTAAAGTACCTAGGCAATTAAATAATTAAAACAAAATTTGTGTTATAGATTTTTAATTTGTTTGTTTACTTATAGGCTATACAATTTTTAGTAAAGTTACCCTATTACATAATACCTAAATCAATTACTCTAAAGAAATATTTTTTTAAATTCAAATATTTTATATTTTTTTTTTTTTTACAGAATATTCAAGTATATTGAAGATTTCTAGACTTTTGTCAAATTTAAGTGCCCATTCTATACATGAACAAGTATTTGGCTTATCTTTTATGTTTACCGTTGAAACTGGCTTTGTTCCAGTTACTTTAAAAGAACATTTTAACACAATAGATTCAAATATTGAATTAGAAAAATTGATAAACAGCCATGCTCTCAGTTCATTTTGGCATGAAAAACAAAATATTTTTACAGCTCAACTATTATTAACAAATAATTTATGTAATTTAGTTGGAATACCTATTGACAATTCTATTATTATTTCATTAAATAACTTAAATGTATCAAAATCAATAGTACTTCCATGTAGTAACAATTTCTCAACTGACAATTTAATTTGGATGAAAATAAAGTTTAAAAATTTGGTAAGTGTTCCTATTAAATGTCACATATTAAATGAAACTATTGGTCAGTATCCTGGATTGTGTGGGCTTCCGGAGGAATTAATATTGTACATAATGACTAGATTGGATTCTAAAAGTTTATATTCATTAATGTTGAGTTGTAAAAAATTAAATGATTTAGCAGTTAAAACCCAAAGTTTATGGAAAAAATTAGTATATGAAGAATTTAAAAATTCATATCATAGGGGTTTTCATGCCATAAATCAACATTCAATAAATGACTGGAGATTATATTATTTTAAGTTAAAAAAGGAGAAATGTGGTAGAAAAACTATTACAATAGTAAGAGAATATACATAATTTATAGAATTATAAAGTAATACAAATAAATTTTCTATAGTTGTCTTGTTTAATAATATATTGATAAAATATCATAACATAAACTTTGTTTTGTATTTTTCATTTTAATTTGTATTAAAAATATAATCTAATCAAATAGAATTAATTTTTATAATATATTATAATAAATTTTTTAAGTGAAATATAAAAATAAGTTTATTTTTATATTCAAAGGTGATATATTCTAGAATTAATATTTTCTCAGAGAAAATACTTCAAAAGGATTTTATTGAAACCTAATATCTCTCAATTCAATTTTCAAGCAAAAATTAATTAATTTTTTGTTTAGTCTTCATAATTGTAATTTGTATCAAAAGAATCAAGAGAAATATTTAAAAATTCTATAAAGTAATTTTGAATCATTTTCTTTTATGCGAGTTATTTTATAAACAGATTATGTTTAGCATGAACTAATTAATAATTACAGATTTATCATCAAATCATTTTTCATTATATTTATTTAAATGATGATGTATTAACATTAACAATGCAAAGGTTTATATTTTATTAAAAACGACACTAAACTGTAAAAACATTGATCGGTGTACTATATTAATGGATTCCGTGCCAAGACATATAAGTACACATTTTGTTAGTGTACCAGATGGTATTGATATTACTTAACTTCAAGGTTTACTAATAAGGGATACCATGAAGGCGTCGGAGATGAACGAGAACAATTGTAAAGTAGATAAAAGATATATGAGTTCTCCTTTTCATTGTTACGTAAAGTGTGTTGTATAAAGAAAAGATTGATGAAACACTGAAACACATGACAAAACTAACATTTTTTGCGCTAAGAAAAAATTAATAAACAAAAACGAATTAGAAAATTTATAAAAATGTATTACAACAACATGTTTAGACTCAATTTTTGCGAAGAATAATTGAAAAAATTATGTATTAAAACTTAGTAGTCATTAGAATTCAACAAGGGACAACCCCCTTGAGTAAAATGNTTAATAAACAAAAACGAATTAGAAAATTTATAAAAATGTATTACAACAACATGTTTAGACTCAATTTTTGCGAAGAATAATTGCAAAATAATGTATTAAAACTTAGTAGTCATTAGAATTCAACAAGGGACAACCCCCTTGAGTAAAATAATCTTAGAATAAATTTGATATTAATTTATCATTGAAGAAAACTGACAATAACAGCTAGGCAATCCATCATTGTTTTCAATCTGTTTTATAGCTCTCTTAGGTGAGGAAAAATAAGTGTTATTAGTATCGATACTTAATAACTTTTACACATTTTTGACTTTTAATTCTTTGAAAGTATATTTTTTTAGTTTTTACATTTTTATAATATTAATTATAACTAACATTCAGTTAAAAAGAATTAATGATCTAATTATAAAATATGATTGATAGGTAACATATAGAGTTTTTTCCGCATTTTCTTGACGTATTGAGTTAAGTTAATTAGTGTTCACTTAAATTAGTAACTTAGCATTGTTTAACGCTCTTTTAACTTTTCCAAGCAATCACTTAATTATCAGCTGCAGTAAGTAAACACTGAATTACCTTTACAATTTCCCAATTTTACGAGGTTTGCAAACAAAAAAAATTACCTTCTTCTAATATTGTTATTTTTGTTGAACGCTATGGAAAATATACCATAAAACAAATTCCAATTAAAATAATTTCTTGTAAATCTAGGTAGATGGAATGGCAGTTATATAAAAGATACTAATCGAATATTTGATATTGCTTGAAGTAGGAACAGATGGTCAATAACTGCGTTGGCTTCTGATGTTAAAAAAAACTATATCTTTCACAGTAGTATATTCAATTAAGGACAAACTATAGTTGATACTGATATAATTATCAGATAAACCGAATTTCTTGATTAGCCTTTCATATTTTACCAAAACGTCAAAATAAATATTTCCCATTTCCTTTCAATATTTCTCCGTTTCCTTAACAATCCCAAAAAGTTCTTTTATTTGAGATTGAACTGATTCATGATTTTTCTAAACTTTTAATATTATATCTCGTCGTTATTTTTTGGATTGGTGTATTAATGTTTACTTCCCCATTTTTTTGTAATAATAATAGTGTTTAGCTTATTTATAATGGGTTTTCAATCAATGTATGTATAAAATGGCAAAATCAAAAGATTTTGGATAAAAAAAAAAGATGTAGGCCTCAGAAATCAGAATAATTTCTGTATGAATATTGTTTAGACCTACTTTTATTTAAATAACTTTGAGTTAGGAAAGTTACATAAAGATAATATGCTAAAAAAAGACAATTATATGAAATTTTATTTAATTTTTTAATTAGTGTAAAAAAAATTATAAATATAACTTATAAAATAATTTGGTAATTATTATTAAGTAAACATTCATTCGCTTAAACTTAATTTTAAAACAATTTTTATCATTTTAAGACTTAGAGATTTTATATAAGAAATTTAACAACATAATAACAAATTCTTTAGACATTTTTTATTTGTATATTGTTCAATTATAAATATTGACATTTTTGTAATTCGTTAAATAGAAACTTACTATCAGTCATTAAAAATTTGGAGTCAGAAATTTAATAACTTGTTCATAATTATTAAAACTGAGCAAAATCGGTAGTAACATAGTTGTGATAAATGTAGATGAGATATCTGACTGGTTAACATCACTTATCATGAAAAACTGTTTGATACGAATTTGTTTCACAGTTATACAAATATATATTTGTAAGTTCTGTTTTAAAATTTCGTTCAAATGTTAAATGCTTGTTATGATATTAACAAAGTAATTATGTTGTATTTTTAAATTTCCATATTGAGTAGGTTTTTTAAATGTTAGGAGATGATAGGTTCAATTAGATTAAAACAGTGTTCTCTTGAGGTATTATTTATAAAAATCGGCCTAATGATAGCTGAGAATTTTCACAATTCTGTAAAAACGCTTATGATTCTAAGTACCTATATACTTATAATATAAAATCTTAAACTTAATTATCTAAAATTGTTTCTCCACTGTCATCTTTAAAAGTTTAGTTCATATATTTTTTATTACAAGAGAAAAACTAATGAAAAAAAAATAACCCCAAGAAAAGCTTTTTTATACTATTATTTTTAGTACTATAAAAATATCTCTGATTTGAAAAATGGTTTTCCGAAAAACCTTAATTTAAAATGATTTTTAATTTTGTTTCTACTTCGTATTTTTTTTTATTACTAGCAAAAAATCTAAGGATGTATAATTATAAAATATTTAGATTTTCTTAGTCAGGATCTTTATAAATTGTCTATAAAGTCAGCATTGTTCACATTTTTATTAAAATAATAGCTGTACTATTATTATAAATTTAAATTAAATTTGTCATTATTAAAAACATATAAGATACGCTAAAATGTGATACATTTTACAAAAACCTGTTGAGTAAAATAAAATAATTGATCATTTATCATACTAGTCTCATTTTCCTAAAAAAAACTAACTACATAAATATATATATTATCTAATTATGCAAATACTTAAATATTAAAAAATATATATAGAGTGTTCAGTAAGTAAAGAACGAGTTTCTATTGTTCTGATTGTTTGAAAAATTCACATGTTTCCTTACTTTTCTAAACACCATGTATATCTAATAAAAGGGAAACACTTAATTTATTTATGACAAAAATATATTTACTTAGAATTATCCATTTTTCAAAAATTTATGACAGTTTTAAGAATAAAAGTTAAAATTTACCAATTTCAAAATTCGCAATATTTTTCAGAATTTGACCCATTAACGGTTAACGAGATACAGATTTTAATTTTTTTATGGTATGTCTTTAATAAGATACAACACATGATCTTTTGACATATCGTTGAAAATTGTTTCTGTTGGGTAAGAGATTGGGAAAAGTAATGACAGATACAATAAATAAATAAACACATCACAGTAAAATTAACACTTTCTCAACTACGTATTGAAACTAATAAATAACAGAACAATTTTTTATTATTATCATTAGTACATTTTTTTTTTTTTGCATTTTCTTTACCTAATAGGACATTATAATTATAAATTATTTGTTAACACATTATCTACACACACATTAGACGTCATCATATCGCATATAATAACATCCTTCCATCTTTTTTTTAATTTTCATCTACTTCTACTTTCTTTAATATTCATTTCCATAACTTTTTACATTTTTTGATTCCCCTCTCTTCATAACATAATCAAACCATCCAAGTGTATTTTATCTCCCTTCTCCACGATTAACGCTACACCTATACTTTTTCTAATATGTTCGAAACTTATCCTATCTTCACTCCACTTAATCATCTAAGCATTTTCATCTCTGCTACACTTATTCTCTGCTCTATTTTCCTGTCAACCGCCCAACACTGAACTTTACATCACTACAGTTTTATAGAACTTTCTATTCAGACTCATTGGAATTCTTTTATCACATAACACACCAGACGCTTCTCACCATTTCACTCACTCGTACTTAAACCTATGTCTTACATCCTCGTCAATAATTCCATTCTTTTGCACAACTAATCCTAAATATTTAAAATTTTCACCTATCCGTCCTCATTTATTGACACTGATTTCCTCATTTCGCCTATCTTGTGTTCTGCTTTGTCAAACTTGTACTCTATATGCTTTGTCTTACTCCTACTTCTTCTTGGTCCTACTGCTTTATTATTTTTCATTGATACCACAGCCTCCCATATCTACCAGTCCTTCGTTACACGAGATATCATCTAATGTCTCTCTTGGATACACCTCATTCAATATTTCAAAAAAAAAAAAAATTATAACCAGATATTTTGACTAAGCTGGCAAAATATATATGTTTTTTTTCAAATAATTTATTGTAAAAAGAAAAATTATTTATAGTTTTACAAAAATTACCTAATGGCAACATGATTTAAGTAATCCATTGTAAAAAACTGTGGTCCAACCTGTGTGGGGGTTAATGAGTTGTACTCTACCATAAAATATTTTGCAATGTTTGAATTTGTAGTCGTTTTTTTCTTGTTCATTCAAGTTTTCTTAAATAAGCGATTTAGAAGAAAAAAATTTTGGCGAGTATAAAATAGAACCCATTCATCCCGAATTATTATTTGATTGCACCACTGACACAAAAAGTTC